CTTATACACATCTAGATGTGTATAAGAGACAGGAGTGCAGGTTCTCTGATTCATGCAATAGCGTGCAAAAAAAAAAAAAAAAAAGGAACGGCGATTTTTTCATCCAACAGCAGAGAGAATGTGGTTCATCGGGGGCGATTTTTTATCTGGTGATTGTTGTCTTCTTCGGTTTTTGTCTCAGATCTAAGGTTGTGTGTTTTGTGATGGAGCAGCTGTACAAATGGGTTCAGCGAGAGGATGGTACGAGAGAACTTGTTTCAGAGTGCGGACACCACGGGCATATCATTGCCTTGTACGTGAAGACGAGAGGAGATTTCATTGTAGTGGGGGATCTAATGAAGAGCATCAGCCTGTTAATATACAAGGTAGGTATTATTAATTTATTAGCATCTTCTCTTTTTTTTTTTTTTTTTTTTTGCGTCCGCGGTGGTGTTTGACCGCCGGTGCTTGTGTGGATACCATCTCGCAGCCCTGAAGAAGGAGACGTTGAAGAGCGCTCTGTGTGAGATCTCCGTTCTTGTAGTATGGTCATTGGTCATCATTTCTGTCGGTCGATTCAGTGATCGCTAAATTATACTGTGCTTCAAACTGTTGATAAACCTGTGTGCAAATCAGCCTGAAGAAGGAGACATTGAAGAGCGTGCTCACGATTACAACGCCAATTGGATGACGGCCGTTGAGATTCTCGATGACGATATATACCTTGGGGCAGAAAACAGCTTCAATCTTTTCACAGGTGATGTGAAAGATCATGCACTCTTTTGCACAATAACTGAAGTCTGCATCTCTCTCTCTCTCTCTCTCTCTCTCTCTCTCTCTCTCTCTCTCTCTCTCTCTCTCTCTCTCCCCCCCCACCTTTCTCTTTGTCTCTGTGTCTCAGTCCGTCTGTCTGGTTCTCTCCCCTCCAGTCCTCCCTCCTTCCTCCCTCATTCCACATACCCCGCCTGGTCGGACCTGATGGCTCTTTTGAACCCCTCAGGTGTGTGCGATGTACTTGTTACAATCTAATGATATAACAGTGATCGTCCATAGCCATCACTTGGAGCCTCTTCCCTTGGCTTGGGAAGATCTTGCCGTTTATGTGGTTTCTACCGTCTTCCCTTGAATAGAGCGTAAGCGTCGAAAGGTCATTATAGCTGCATGTGTTATGTGGCTTCTACTGTCTTCCCTTGAATAGAGCGTAAGCGTCGAAAGGTCGTTATAGCTGCATCTGTTATGTGGCTTCTACCGTCTTCCCT